CGAGGGTTGACTGTACAGGTATTGTTTAGTGAAGAAACAGGCAACTTAGTTAGGCTCTGACGAGTGTCATCCGTCGCCATGGAACCTAGCCCCTTATTTCCTATACCAGTCTGTCTTTAGTCTTGCCAACCAAGGGATTTTTCAAGGACCTAACTCCCGAGGATGGTGAGGGGCTATATACTGTACCACATAATAAAAATACTAATGTTTGTTATAAACGGTTTCAAAGTCAAATGATTGCTTTATTAACACCAAACCTTTACAGTATATAAATGATGTGGTTCAGAGTTAAACAATTTAGTAAGCAAAAGGTGAGCCCAATTCAAATAAATTTCAGTGTCCCTATGTCAAAAATGGAACAAAATTTGCTATGATAAACAATAAAAATTATACACAGCCTATCTTAAAATACAATAGTACATATTTATGTACCAAAAAAATAACTCCTTCCACACTTAAACCATCCTGTGGGTAACACGACAGTTCAGCTGGGCAGTCACTCAGCTGACTTTGAGAGGTGTGTGTTTGTGTTTGCCATGACATCACACCAAGGGGAGGGAATGTTATTGGGTGGCGAGTCAGCGACGCAGTTACAGCCTACTGCCTCTACACTTACACACCCATGCTCCTCAATTTTCTTATTTTATAGTTATATATTATATTTTCTTAAGTTTCTAAACCACATTTGAGTAGTTTAATCATATAAATTTCCACAACTTTTATAGTTTCATTACATGTAACAATGGCAACATGCCATCTCACAGTTCACCTGAGCCTCAGTTTTCCCCTTCCCAATGAGTCAAGCTATTGCTAAACCGGATTTTGACCTAACATTAAGCGAGAGAGGGTGTCAAATTTTTTTTATTGTTACATCAAATTAACGTAAAATAAATTGACACTAAATGAGGGATATCAGTAACAGGCTAACCTGGCCAAACCCAATGTAGAACACTGCACTTCCATCCTAGGATCGGCAACTTAGGTAGATTTAGTCGGTTTTATTTCACATACAATATATCATCTCATTGGTGGAGGAGCATCTATGTTATATATGTATGAATTGTGGCTAAAGCAATAACAAGATAATTGCCATAAATCCTTGTTATTTGTTGGCATATTATTATTATACATATTTTCTTTTTCACCACTTATCACCTTACTAGCCATTCGGGCAGCTGGTCTCTCCAGTGTTAGTATGGGAGGAAATCCGAGACCTACCTTCTCATGTGTGTCCGTGCCAAGTAGGACTCGAAGTCCTGACATATTTGTGAGAGATAACATGTTCCCGCTGCACCACCAACACCCCATTGTTAGTGTTATATTACTAATAAAAGATGCTGCAGGTTCTCCTTGTTTATTTAACGGATGTGTTAATGTGTGAAAAAGTTCGTCTTTTGGTGCATGCATATAAGTAAATCATGGCAGCACTTCAAGTACGTTGCCCACATTAACATGCACTTATGTGAAAGTACAAAAGTTGCAATTCCTAGCCACCATTTTATTGACATTCAAAGGTTTAGAAAGAAATTTTCTTCCATAGAAAATTTATGATATTTAAAGACAGTTGTCTATGTTATCCATCCAACTAAGTTAAAAGCTCTATAGAAAGAATTTATTTCTTCCCTCAAAACTAAAGCAAATCAGATTTATGGTTCTAATGTAGAGGCAGATGACATAAAAGTACGAAAAGCAAAATAAAACATTTATAAATTGCAATATCTCAACTGGATACGACTATTCTTGAGGTAACAACTTTTTTTTTCTATAAAAAGTCTCAGAGTTGGTTCAGGTATGCTAGAATGGTTACCGGGTAAACTACTGTACTACCTTGACTAATCTTCCATTCAATATATCCATACATTTCGGAAGTTTTGACTTTCATATCCATAAATTGATTTTTTAAAACGTAGTGGATATTTTGTTGTGACCGGCTAAGTTCCAGCTTACGCTATTTTACCTCAAGTGCGCTCTGATTGTCTTAGTACTTTCTGCTTTATATGACGGGGGGATCACCCCCTGGCTATGAAGTTAAGTAAGGTTAGGTAGGTTCTTTGGTTGGTTAAGTCAGGTTCTATTACGTTCTAGTAAATGTCGCCTTTATGTGACAAGTTTCCATGCACAACTGAAACATGGTTAGGTATGTTTACAGCTACACAGTGATCAACTCAGGGCAAAATTAATGCCCAATGCCGCCAGTCACAGTCAAATATAGTTCTCGCATTGTTTGCCGGTAATGGATGATTAGCCAATCAGCGTGCACTCACGGTAAAATAGCATTCGGTGGAAATTACCGGTCACAGCAAAATATCCACTGCCTTTTTAAAATGAGCTAAACTTCTGAAGGTAAAGATACTGTAGTCTCAATTAACCTGATAACTACCAAAAATATTCTTATTAGCAAAACTAGAATACAAGTACTGGAAAGGATAAGACTGACAACATTACTCTTCCTGATGCCATCACTTCATATAATAAAATCAATGAAAGACTGCTACTAATCATCATGGGTGCCAGTGAAGTCGGCCCTTGGTGACTTCGGTCCAGTTACTGCGGTAATCTCGGCCCACATAGGATGTGGATGTGGGCCTGCACCCCCCAAGGGACGGCTCTGACAACACAGTTCAGAACACTGCAACCCAAGATGAACCAGACCCCCTCAACGAATCTTCGCTGGTTGATATGGAACCTAACACAATGACTGCAGTGGACCAAGACACGCATGAAGTCAGCTACAAGATTATTGAAGGAACTTTAATTCATGGTGGAGATAAACTTTTCGATTCCAGCGGTTGTTCATGTACAGTCAAGAGGAAATGTGCCAAGTCCACGACATGGAAATGTTCTCAACGATCCAGACTGATTAACTATGCAGCCATCGTTGATATGCTTCCCAGTGAATTGTGATGGACTTTGAGAAAGCTCTGTGGCGTGCTACAAGTTCTCTGCTTCCGACTGTTGAAATAAAAGGGTGTGCATTCCATTTTGCTCAAGCACTCTTCCAGAAAATACAAGAGCTTGGATTTTAAACTTCCTACTCATCAGATGAAGGGACTCACAAGCTGTTTCGGAAGTTCATGACGTTGTTTTATTCCGGAACAACATATTCTGGGATTAACAGTTCTATCTGGCCACCCAAGTCCTGGAGCATATATAAACTAAGTGTGAGAACTAACAACGACGTTGAGGGGTGGCATAACCATATGAAGACGAAAGGGAAGGCACAGATGTCCTTTTACATGATGAAGCAACTTTAGTAACTACTTAGATTCATCTCGTGTCTGAGGGAAAACTGAAGCGTCATCAAAGCCGAACCTACAAACAACTACTGTACAAGCAAGGGTCTTCTCCGTATGGGAAGATTATGAAAATGGTAGGCAAAGCGCCAAACAATTTCTCTCTGCAATATCCAGACTGTATGGCCCATAAGAATAAACTGTACAGTATATGTATATGATATTAAATCCATGTGCTTAAAATAAAATTATAATAAAAAAATCCTCAAAAAGCCTGACAGTTAAATGATTGTTGACATCGGCCCATCCTATGTGAGGCCGAGATTACCGAAATGGGCCAGGATCACCACTGTAACTGGGTCGAGGTCACCAATGGCCGACTTCATTTGTGTCCATCATCACGAGTCAAAAAGACATCCTATCCAAGGGGAATGATTTATGTACATTTATTTTGTACATAGCATGCACTTATATAATTAAGTTTACTTGCCTCTAGCATGTAAAACCTATCTTATAATCGGTGAAGGTGTAGAAGAGGGAGACTACCAGAAGTTGTTTGTTGATTTTCTTTAATTTTGCTATACTTATTGTTTTGATGATCTTAAGTATATTAAAAGAAACGACAACTTTCTATTATGATTTTTTTTTAAATACCCCGCTTCACAATTCTCCTCCCGGCGCCATTCTTGTTGTTTACCTCACTGAATCCCTCTTCAAAATATGTTTCCTATAAATGATGGTGAACGCTTCCACGAATTCCTCCTCGCCGTTGCTGATTTATATCAACCTCGGTATTAAGGTAAGTAGTTAAACACAAAGTAACACGATAATGCATAGAACCTGACCTAACATACCCAACCTATGGGTATGTTAGGTCAGGTTCTATTAGGTTCTATGCATTGTCATTTCCATTTTTGTGTTTAATATGATATTAATGTGTAGAATAATTTTCAACCAATTCTGATATTCCTTCTGGTGGTCACCCTCGTCTACACCTTTACCTAATAATCATTACATGCTAACGAGATTAAAGAATATGGCACATAACAATTTCATATTATTCTCAACATGGTTTATGAACTTTAATAAGAGCCAATTTCAGCTTCAAATTAGATAAACACATCACATTCATAACTATAATAAACGGATTTTCTTCCAATAATACTATGCTAAATTAATATATTTCCTAAATGTTCAGTATCCAGGAAATCCAATGACTCAGACATACCCCACCCTTCCCTTCATCACACAACCTTAGTGTTTTCCTAAGCTGGAGGGGAATAGGATTTGATAATAAGCTTATATCACATTACCTACAGTATAAAACAATTATATCTGTTAAATAGTGTATAAGACATGCGCTAATTTTTTTTTATCACCTAAAACGAGCTACTAAACACACATATACTGAGTAGTCCTGGCAGGTCCACTGTTGTTTTACCACATAGTTCTGTTTTCACTCACCAACACACTACCTTCAGTAACTAAAACTTCATACTTGAGAACATAGATACACATATAAGGTATTTCAGACTAGAACCAATACCGACACCTTGACATTTAATTTCCTAACGTCAACTTCAATGTTTTTTTTCAGCCATCTTGACGAGCCCCGCCTTCATTTTAACTCCTTTTCGGCGAGTATTACACAAAGCCTTGCTAAACACTGTACTTCATCCTTTTCCTAAGAATCATGCACTTTAACTAATGCAAAAATATATGTATATTTAGAGAGGAAACAAGTAAATTTAGGTAGTAATTCCTCACCAGCTGGGCGTAGTTCATCAACACACTCCTGCCCTCTGCCGCCTGCAGGAGTAAGCCTTAACAAGATCCACATAAACATTTTCATTTAGAACATTTTTATAAAAAATTTCGATCATACTATTTTTATTATGCTAAATATATCACATTATTAATACTTTATTAATTATAATTCTTATTATTTTCATTTTACATTAGAAAATATATTGTAAGTTGGCGCTATCTGTTTTCAGGATTTTAACGTAACCTACATTCTTCAGGAATGACTAGTACAGTTATCTACCGACTACTGTGTTATCACACTACCTGTAAATTTAAGCCTAATCTATGAACATTCAGTTATTTATATATTTTAAAATTTCCTTTAAATTCTACATTACGATTTTTGTTCAGAAAACGAAACATTACTCAAACGCAAGACCAGCGTCGAAAGCTTTCGGAAATGCTTTGATTTCTTTGAAGTGCACCAAGAGTGTGCTTGTAGTGGATTTCTCCCCTAAAAACGCTGTTTGTCGCTGAGTAGCCGACCCCACCAATTCCCCAGTGTATGCCTCGTGGTCTAGGTCAACCAGCGCCGCCATACATCACGGAGCTGGGGTCAACTACTAAGCCACGCCTGCCCCCCGCTATTTAAGACCTGACCTCGTGGTGACCTCTCTCTTTCTACCTACACTAACTAGCAAGCAACACCTCCTCCTCCTCCTGCCTGGCGGCCCTCGCTCCCGCCGGCAAGCATGGCGACCCACAAGCTGGTCTTCCTCTGAGCAACCTCACCAACCAGCTCTCTCTACTCAACGCTTGTAACCATGCTGCCTTCCCAGCACCAAGCTGCATTGTACATCCAATACAACATGTATACAGAGAGCACATTGTGAGTTTCCTTTCTCCATCCCATCCTGAGTGCGAACCAAACATCCCATACCCCACAAATGGTGACCCCCGGAGATTCGCACTCACATAGGATTGAGGAGAAACCGATCACTCTCCCAATCTTTAAGCAACATGGAAGACTGGCTTATCCACACAGAGGCAGCTCTCATCGGCCCTACAGCTACTGTCTCTACACAGCAGGATAGACGGGTTAGAGCAGCACTGCTTCTCTAAGCAGACACCAGCTCCTCTTCCTGCCCCATGCACCACGTCCTACCGACCCCAGCACACCCGTCCTGCCTCAGACGCCGCCCCCGGCCCAACAGTACCCCCTGCCACTGTCCTGGACCCTCCTCCTGACGAAGACCCTCCGCTCCTGCCTGGCAGTCCCTGCTTCTGACGCGGCCCATGCGCCTGAGTGCGGCCCCACACCCTTTTTTTCCCCCTCAGGTACCCCCTGCTTCTGTCCTGCATCCTGCTGCTGTCGTGGGTCCTGCTGCTGTCATGGATCCAGCTGCTGTCACGGACTCTCCTCCGCCCCTGCTGACGCAGCCCCTGCTCCTGACCCAGGCCCACACACCCCAACAGGCGCATCTGACGACTCTGTACCTGCCGTGAGGGAAGCACAACATTCATCGCCTCCACACACCCCTTTTCTCCCTCTCTACTCCCACAGATATTGTGTATCTAGACAGTTGTCTCCTCTAGCGGCCGGCTCATCCACGCCATCGCCGTTATGGCTCACATGTGGCATGCACCGCCCGTTCTGCCTCACATGTGCCATGCAACCCTGCAGACAACAAGTCTCCTACACCGCCTGGAGGGAAGGGGGAGTACTGTAGTGGATACCTCCCCTACAAACGCTGTTTGTCACTGAGTAGCCGACCCCGCGAATTCCCCAGTGTATGCCTCGTGGTCTAGGTCAACCAGCGCCGCCTTACATGACGGAGGTCAACTATTAAGCCACGCCTACCTCCGCTATATAAGACCTGACCTCGTGGTGACCTCTCTCTTTCTACCTACACTAACTAGCAAGCAACACCTCCTCCTCCTGCCTGGCGGCCCTCGCTCCCGCCGGCAAGCATGGCGACCCACAAGCTGGTCTTCCTCTGAGCAACCTCACCAACCAGCTCTCTCTACTCAACGCTTGTAACCATGCTGCCTTCCCAGCATCAAGCTGCATTGTACATCCAATACAACATGTATACAGAGAGCACATTGTGAGTTTCCTTTCTCCATCCCATCCTGAGTGCGAACCCAAACAACCCGTACCCCACACTGTATATACTGTATATCTAGGTTCGAGAAAAATTCCCTATGTATAAAAACACACTGTACAATAGTCTTAAAATAGTCAAGGTATCACCTGAAGAATCATCACCCCGCCCACATTCAATATACACTAACCTAATCTAACTCCACCTGAATTATCGGCATCCCAGCCCGCTCCAGGGTGACGATTTTTCAGGTGATCCTGCAGTGGGTCTCTCCCCTACAACTATATCCGCATTCCAATGCGACAGTATCCTAGCAACACCGGGGTCGCCACCTGCTACATCTTCCCTAGCAACGGAATCAAGAAACCGGCGAGTTCCCACGGGTTTACTTCCGGCTGCTGTGTATATAAGCTCGCATTCTCTCCATTGAGATTCATTCTGCCCTATGTTCCTGAACATGCAACACCTCCTCCAAGCAAGCTCCTCGCTGTCCAGCTCTCATTCAACCTGGAGGACAGCAACACGCAACATCTCCTCTAACGAAGCTCCTGCACAGATACCTCCTCAGGCACGCTACTTACTGAACGTGTCTTCTGAGCAAGCTTCTAGCCACACGGCATCTCCAGCACCAAACTGTCTTGTATATAATATATTTTATATAAAAAAACCACCACCTTAGCGTTTCCATCAATCCCATCCTGAGTGCTAGACAACAGAATATCAAGTAACCCTACAATCCCAGTCAAGTCTATAGCGTAGTGCACGTGGCCAGTTGTCTAATTTATCATTGGATGGAGGTGAGAAAGGAAACTCACAATTACGTTATATATATATATATATATATATATATATATATATGCAAGTAAATCACTGTAGGTGCGCGTGATCTAGGTATATGCTGATAACCACAAGGAAAGAAGAAAACACGAAGTGAATTACACGAAAGCGCTTGGGAACTTCGTGTTTTCTTCTTTCCTTGTGGTTATCAGCATATATATATATATATATATATATATATATATATATATATATATATATATATATATATATATATATATATATATATATATATATATATATATATATATATATATATATATATATATATGTACAGAACAGTCTGGTCCTGGGAAGTTGCTGAGTGGTAGAGGAGTTGCTGTGGAGGAGCTCCTTTAGAGGAGGTCTTCTCTGCTTAAGAGCGTGGTGTTGTCTGACGGTTCTGCCCACAGTCAGTCAGTCAGTCAGAACACCGAGATAAGAGAGCCGTGGCTCTGAGGTGAACAAGGATATTTAGGGCAAGGTATAGTTAAGAAGTGGGAAGTGCAGAAGGAGAATGATAGCAGGTGGGCTTTCCACCTTGCGGAGGCTGGTTTGTGGTTTAACCAGTGACAGACGTTCCTTAGTCCTCCAGGGGCAAGGGAGGTTAGATAAGCTAAGCTAAGCTGGTTTAAAGTGCCATCCTAAGGAAGGTGATGTTTTTGGGTTTGTTGGAGGGTCCCTTCAGGTCCTTGTGTTGCTGAATGGATGTTCCTCATCTTTTGTGATTGTGACTAGGGGGGTCCCGCCAGGTCCTTGTGTAACTGGCAGGATAATCCCCATCTTTAAGGTTATGCATATGGTGTTGCTCTTTCTTGTTGGTTGTTTCTTGGAGGATCCCTTCAGGTCCTTGTGTAACTGAAGGGATGTTCCTCATCTTTAGTGATTGGGGGGTCCCACCAGGTCCTTGTGTGAACTGGCAGGATAGTCCCCATCTTTTCGGTTATAAGAGTGGTGTTATTCTCTCGCGCATAATGGTTCTGGGCTGATTGTGTTAATGTTGATGCTTCTTGGCCACCAGCTGTGTGATATGTTGTTATTTGCCTGTACTAGTTCCTGTAAAATAGAGTCTTGTGTTAGGTGTAGTTTGTCCCATACCGCTTTTGCTTGTTTGTGTGTTATTATGTTAATTGTGTCTATGTTATGTTCGATGTGTATGTCTCGAATTTTTTGACTGTATGGCGGCCTATGTTTTGCTGCTCTTCTTAGTGCTGTAATTTGGACTGCTTGCAGCTTGAGTTTGTTTGTTTTAGTTATTGTGTTAAGTGGAATTGGTGGGTATTCAAGGTGTGGTCTGACGAGTGATTCGTATAGATGCAGCTGTGTTTTGGTGTTTAGTTTTCTAAAGCGACGGAGTTTGGTTTGTTGTAATTTGGCTTTCGTCAATCTTTCTCTATGTGTTGGTGTATACCGTCTCTGGTGATTTTGAGTCCCAGTGTTTTGCCCACTTTCTCCATATGGTAACTGTTGATTGTTGATTATGATTGGGTATGGATTTATTTTTGCAATGTATATGATCTTTAGTTTTTGGATGTTGGTTTGGATTTTCCATTTTCTCTCATAGTTATTAATTGCTTCTATTTCTCTCCCTGTTCTTATTGCCATCATTTGTTTAGATCTCCCTGGATATTGTGTTATTTGCGTGATATTGTCTGCGTATGCTATGTAGTCCGACTGTCTTAGTTCTGGTATGTCTGCTGTGTATATTGTGTACAGTGTGGGTGAAACGTTGCTGCCCTGTGGGACTCCATTGTGTATGTTGAAGGTTTGTCCAGTGTAGTTGTCTATAATGAGTTTGGCTTGTCTGTTGTCTAAGAAGTTGCAGAGAAGGGTTGTCATGTTTTTTGGCATGTCAAGTTGAATTATTTTATATTTGAGGCCTTCGTGCCACACTTTATCGAACGCTTTTGATACGTCTCTGAGAACGACATTGCACACGTTTTTAATGCTGAGGGCGTTAGCTATTGTTTCGTAAATTAGTGCAATAGCCGAGTTTGTGCCTCGGTTCTTTCGGAATCCATGTTGTCTGGGATTATATTTGTTTTCCTGTTCTAGATAGTTTCTGAGTCTGCTGTTGACTATTTTTTCTAGTATTTTGCCTGGTGTTTCTAATAGGGATATATGTCTGTAATTTTCCGGCCTTGTTCTGTTTTTTCCCGGGTTTGGGTATGA